CACTACACAAGAAACATTTTCTGTTGCCTTTCTCCAAAAGTTCCCATGGATATACTGAAAAAAGCTTTCCCTAGAAACACTGCCCCTCTGGAGCCTGGCACTGCTGTCACTCTTCAGTGCGCATTTCCAAGGGTTTGGGGCTGTGCTCTACCGCCCAGTGTGCGCAGTCGGCTACAGCCCTCAGCTTTCTTTGCAGTCCTCAGACACAGGCAGGCGGAAGTTGATGCTGGTTTGCTAATTCACTTCTCTTTACGTGAAACCAAAACACCGACAACAGCTAAGTAACTGCAGCATCCATGGACTTCCAGACAGCAGTCGTAAGCCATCTGGGAAGCCAGCTCCTTAAATTTACTGGCATACAGTTCATTTGCTTAAAAGAGTCTCTCTCCCTGCACAATCAGGTGACTCTATTACTTTGCATAGGGAAAAAGATGATATTAAAATGCAATTTTAGAAATTTATTATCCCTAAAACACAAATGAGGAAAAATGTTTACCCATATGGCATCATTAGATACTGTCTCATCTAATAGGCTTATAAAACAGCAGAAAGCAGATACTGGGATCCCAGCACAGAAAGGTAGAGGCAGTTTTAGTTCTAGGCCAGCCTGGTGCTGCTGCATAGCCAGTTAGAAACTAGCATGGGAGAGCTTGTCTTCCAAACTAAACAAAAGCAGAGGGTAGAACAAGATGTGGGGAAGCATCAGTATTTCAAAACTACCTTTCTTTAGAGAAAGAAAATGACTACAGTGTTCTTTTTTTCCTATGTTTTGTAGCAAGGAAGAAATGGAATTATTTTAAAGGTACATTAGACATTTACTCATGTCTCAAAACAATTGGTAGAGTGATACTGGACCTAAATAATTATAAAGTTTTACTTTGAAAGGTAAAACTACTGAATCACCTACCATAATACTTCACAGGTACTGTCTGTCAGGGTTTCAATAGCTTTATGTTGTTTTTATTGCTTATTTTAAGTGTATTTATGTTTTGCTTGTAGTATGGATGTATACTCCATACATGCATGGTGCTCAAGGAGGTCAGAAGTGGTATCAGGTTTTAGCCCATGGCTTTAAATTCTAAAACCATCATCACTGGGCTGCTGAGACGGTTCAGTGAGCAAAAGTGCCTGCCACCAAACAGAGGACTAGAGTTCGATTCCCAGGACTCACATGGAGGAAGAAGAAAGCCAGCTCTACGGGATGTCCTCTGACCTCCACAAGCACACTATAGCATGTGCACATTTACAAATAAATACATAGAAATGTAATAAAGATTTAAAACAAGAAAGCACACCATTATTATTACAGCTTTAAGGAAAATTAGATGTTTGAGTGAATGGGTTAAACTTTACCAATTAAGTCATAAAAAGAAAGGATTTTTGTAATACTCCTCTTTTTACAAAGTATATTATTATATTTCAACATTTAAAATAGTTTTCCTAGATTTTTGTGGCTGCAGTTGTTTAATGGGATCCACACAGGCAGAGTTGCTCTGCTGGTAACTAGGCTATATATACATATGGATACTAAAGGTAGCAGCTAGGGTTTGAAGGAACGTGGACAGTTTTGGAATGAATACATAGCTTGAAAATCAACACAAATAACAGTTAATTTGTATTAACTGACTCATCTACTTGTGTATATGCTTAACAGTCTATGCTGAGACTAATATGAACCTGGCAAAAAGCATAAAGATTGGCAGCTTCAGGCTGGCTCTATCAGCTATCAATTACATGGTCTTCATATGGTTCTTTAGCCTTTTTAAGCTCAGTTTGTTCAGCAACCAAAGTTCCTGAAGACTTAATTGTATGTACGTCATAGGACTAGCACCATGCTTGCAATGGTGCAAGATGTCAATAGCAGTTATTATTAGATCTGAGCTCACTGGAATGTACTTTTTCATAGTGTCCTTGTTCTAAAGCAAGTACAATTGTACATCTACATTTTCCACAAAATGTCTTAAGTCACCTGGGTATCTCCAATAGTGGATATAGGAATTAGTATTAGTTGAGGGAAATTAAGGCATCTGAGTAAATCCTAAACCATATTGTAGATTTCTGACTCTCCCATCACTTCTGATAGTGTCGATAACTTTTTATTTACTGACTCCATTTGTTATTTTGCTGGCCTCCTTGATGGTTCAAAATATGATGTGTGTTTATACACTAAGGTCTTTAACTTTGCTCTTTGTTCTGCTTAGAATGTTCTCTCTAGGCTGGGTCTCTGGGTCTTGAATTGCAGCACTTGGAAGGGAGAGGCGGAAGGAGCTCTTAGCTGGAGGCCAGACTGGTCTACAAACAGCAAGTTGCAGGAGGCCCTGTCCAAAAAAACAAAACAAAACAACAGCAGTGCCCCTGTTTCTTCACTTCCCGCTAGTCTATCCAACCACTGCCAGGCCCTATTCAATAGCAACAGCACTAACTGCCATGTGAAACTCACTTTCTAGATATGTTTATCTTTTCAACTGAAATTCATTTGCCATTAAGTGTACAAAATTATCATTTTGTTTAGAAACGGTTTTCTCTTATCTGGTGTACTGACCGGCACACAAAGACAATACAATATTTGCTGGGTGAATGACTGTTACATGAGGAAATGTATTTAGTTTGAAATCCTTACTGTCCTACATTCTTAAGAGTACTAACTTGCTTCAAGACTGAAATGGACACTTTCTAAATGTTAAGCTTGGGGCTGGGTGACAAAATTAACAAGACTCTAATCTCTGTCTTATCCTGAGATTATGTTCTCTTGATAATGATTTCTGCTTGTTTCTCTTATTTGCTCTTACTGTCTTTCTTACTCATTTGTTTCAATGTAAAATATTTTGATGTTTTATATTCCTAGAAAATATCTTATTTTTTAATCTTTTAAAAATTATGACTATTCTTACGGAGAATTATATTTTCCTAGCTGCTACTAATGGCGGTAACATCTAAAACCAAATCTCACATTCTAGCATGATTCTAAGCACGAAATTTGTGCATCTCTTCATCACTACACACACACACCCTTGCCTTTAGTTACTTGCAAGTAGGATTCAACATGAAGACTTAGGAGGAAATATTACTTGTTTTATAATGTGAGGAAATAGTCCATAATACAGATTATTTTTAAAACCTGTTTTCTAGCTTAAAAGGCAATAGATAGTTTAGACAACCCAGCCAAAGGGTATCTTAGAACAGTACTCCATTCTTCAAGGGTCTTGGGTGAACCAGGAGCTCACTGATATGATGGTCTGGCCGGCAGGAAGCATCAGGGACCCTCTGTCTCTGTGACCCAGTGCTGAGATCACAAAACACACAGCCACCACGCTCAGCTCTCCGTCTGCTTCCAGGGATCCAAACTCATCCTCAGGCTCACGTATCAAGCATTTTACTAAGCCATGTTTCCAACCTTTTGATGGCTTAAGAGACAATTATTTTAATTAAAAGTTCAGGTACCATAAAAAACAAAATGACAAAAAGGGTAATATTATTTCAAATTCTTGAAGCATCAAATCAAAATCAGTTTCTAGAAAATGATCTGTGGTTAGTCAACTGGAATTTATTCCTTGTTTGAGACTCAGAAGGCAGAGGCAGGCAGAACTCTTTGAGTTAAGGCCAGCCTGGTCTACATAGTGAGTTCCTATATAGTCCAGGGCTAAAAGTGAATGTCTCTTTTAAAAAAATGAAATAAAACAAAAAAATCTGAGTTATATTTACAATTGTGGAGCTTTCAAATTATATCATAAGTCTCCTAAGATTTTTCACACTGCTTTCTAAATTCTGGGAAAGCATGATTTGAATTTCATTTTAAAAACTGATACTGAGACCATGATGGGGATATCACTGAAACAGTTTACCTGAGCTAATGGAAGCTCACCTACTCCAGCCTGACAGTGAGGGAACCAGCAAACTAGGCCCTCTGAATGTGGGTGACAGTTGTATGGCTGGGGGCAGACTGTGGGGCCACTGGCAGTGAGACCAGAATTTATCCCTGCTGCTTGTACTGGCTTTTTGGAACCCATTCTCCCTGGAGAGATACCTTGCCCAGTCTAGATATAGTGGGGAAGGCCTTGGTCCTGCCTCAAAGCAATATGCTACACTTTGTTGACTCCCCTCTCTGAGGAGAGAATGGGAGGTGGGATAGAGAGTGGCAGGGGAAGGTAGAGGGAGCAGGAGGAGAGGAGGGAATTGGGAAATGGATTTGGCATGTAAAATGAGAAAAGATAGTTTTTAAAAAAACAAATCAAGAAATTAAAAAAACCTGAGAATGACAATATGCAAATGAAAATATGCAGAGTTTGGCATGTAAGACTTCATCAGTAGGCTATCCCTAATATGTTGTTTTTACACTTACTACAAGCTAGAAATGTGAAAATTTAAGTTACAAAATTCTTCATTTATATTTCACACACTTTTTCTTAAAAGAAAAATTCTGTTTAAGAAGGAATTTCTCTGTTAAGAAAACATATGTGGCTGGAGAGATGCCTCAAAAGTTAAGAACTTTGGGTACTCTCCCTGTAGACTCAGGTTCAGTTTCCTGCACCTACATGGCAGCTCACAAATGTCCATAACTCCAGTTCCACTTAAATATATTTAGGCAAAATACTCACATACACAAGATGAAAATAAATATTAAAAATAAAAGTATGAGGGTTTCATACGCAGATCAGTGGTAGAGAGCTTCCTAAGATAGTCATTGTCCTGACTTTGGTCCCCAGCACTGCCTTTTAGAAGAAGTCAAATGATCTTTAACCATGATGCATACATATCAGAGACGGGGACACACACACACACACACACACACACACACACACACACACGCATAGATCCTAATGTTCGGAAAACATTTTTATAACTTTGTGCAGGGCCACTGCATGCAATTTCAGAGCTACTTAGCTATTCTAGTCCAGAGGCATTCCAGAAATGCCAACTGCTCTCACCACACACCCTGTGTAAGGAAAGGAAGAAACAAGAGTTGGGCAAATCCACCCTTTCAAACCACTCAGCAAGGATACTCTTCATTGTTTCGGATGTCGACCACCAGGAGCTTTGGCTTACTAGACTTTGTTTTCTTGGTGGGGGTCTTGAAGTGGCCTGTCACTGAGAGCTCGCACAAATCAATCAAGTCCTCTGCTGAAATCCGGGGTGATACTTCTGATTTTAGGTCATTCAAAGTGATGGATTCTCTTGACTGAAAATAAAGTACAAGGAACAAAAATATTGACAATTTTAGAAAGACAAACTACAGGCATTTTATAGCATCAGCATAGCCCAAGGAGAAAAGGACTCAAACTTATTCTGGCAATCTATAGTGCAACTGTGCTCCTTACTAAGTAGACCTCAGACTACTAAACTAGGACACTGGCCTCATCTTTGCACCTGTTACATGGTACATAGCTACTTGACACCAAGGAAATTAACAGTCATTCTCTGTGTTACTTTGTAGAGAGAAGAATTATTCCTTCTTTGTTCCCACAATAGACAATGCAATAAATTCAACCTGACAAAATATTAATTGAGTAACTTAGGTGATGTAAATTGAGAATTTAAGAGCTTTCTTGGACTAGAGATGTAGTCCAGTGGAAAAGCATTTGTCCTGCATGCATGAGGCCCTAGGCTCCATTCCCAGGAAAACAATAGACAAGCAAGCAATACCACCACCAGCAACAAAACCAATAGCTTTCAGAATTTACTGGAAAGTATGGCAATCCAAACAGAAATTATTTACATGCTTATTTATTATCAAAATTGAGCCTAATTATTATCTCATTTTAGAGTTTCATTCTTTCGTTCTACTTAGAATCTGCAATTTAGTATTTCTAGGAAAAAAAGCACACCAAATAAGTAAATCACCAGACAAATTTATTTTTTAAAAAATTGTGTTCAATTAGAGTTTGATATCAGTTTTCATCTCTGGAGTTCCTCTGACTCTGTGCACAACTCTTTAGTGGTAAACACTTGTTTACTTCCTTTATTAACTTTAAACAGAAATAAAAACTGATAAGCTTTATGGGTTTATGACTTTTAATAAAAATAGGCATTATGAACATTAATTTTTTTTTCTTTTGAGACACGGTTTCTCTGTAGTTTTGGAGCCTGTTCTGGAACTAGATATGCCTGTCTCTGCCTCCTGAATGCTGGGATTAAAGGTGTGTGCCATCCCTGCCAGGCCCGAACATCATTTTTTTTTAATATTAAGAATTGAAGCTACTTAAACATTTTAAAATGACCGATAAGCAGTCACACACCAGAACCTCCCTATCCCCTTTTTAGACTGCAGTCTTTGCAGGTGTTTCTCATGGTCTCCATATAAAGCTATGTACATCTTTGGAGATGAAACAAAGAGCTTTGGATTGGCTTAGTTCTGCCTTCAGTCACTACTAAGCGACAATGAATGTGGCAGTTTTGAATGGAAGCTCGGTCTGAGTAAAGGATGTTGGATGGCTGAGGAAGAGGATTGATTCTACAGGAGTGCTCTCTCAGAGCACCGCTCTCACCAAATGTGAGGGTCAGATGCTATTAGGAAAGAACATTGCTTCAGTTTCAAGAGCAGGAGAGAAATCACTGACCAGTCACGAATTTCTAGCCTTCTCTGGATGTACAAAAAGAATTTTAATATGATATGCACAACTGACTCTGCTGACTAATTTTAGAGCTAAATAAACTAAGTTCTTAAGATAAATTATACTACTCCAAGAAGAGAACAAATCATATTATTATAAAACACACTTTCTAGTAGTTTTTAGTTTCCTAAGCAATTTTATTATTTATTATAAAATTTATACACAGAGGCATAACAAAGATCCCCCTGCACCACCTCTGTCTTCCTGCACCAAAGCACATACGTCAGTGTTTCCAAGTGTGAATGGAGTTTCTAGCTCATTGGCTTTGCTGGAGCAGTGGACAGGAATTTAGAACAACTACAGAACAGGTCTGCACGCTGACTAATTTATCATTTCAGTCCAAGAACCTATTTATAAATACTCGTATCAAGCTCAGGTTTTATCCCAAGAAAGTTCTGTCTGTTTAACATTACATGAGCCTTAAGAACACACAACTATTCATCATTTGGTACTTTTAGATTTGAATTCTTAACAATGAAAACGTCTCTTTGCTTAATTTGTATTTATGCTTTTGGGCATATGAATATGTGCGTGTACATGTGTATGTGGGTTCATGTGTGTGAACCATGGGTAGGTAGGTGTGGGTGTATGTGTGTGAGGGTACACGTGTGTGAGTGTGGCATCCAGAGGTCGACCTCAGGCGTCATTCCTTAGGGTCACTCGCCGTGTTTTCTGAAACGGTCTCTCTCACTGCGCTGGAAAGAGCCGAGATTGAGAGGCTGGCTGGCTTGTGAGCTCCAGGCAAGCCATCTCAGAGCTGGGGCTCCAAGGGCACACTACTGTGCTTGGTTCTGTAACTTGCATCCTGGGGATTGAGTTCAGGTCCTCATGCTTGCACAACAGCCACTCTGTGGACTAGGGTATTTTCTCAACCCTTCTTCATTTTGTGATATGTTATTGCTACACTGCTCAGATTGACCTTGAACTTGTGATGCTCCTGCCTCTGCCTTTCAAATGCTGAGATCAGGGGCATATCTTCATATTCAAGAGACAGCCCAGACAGTAAAAAGTCAGCATGTACATCTGAGGATTTAACAAATCATATTATTTTGTTTACCTAGAGTTAGAATTTATTTGGCGGATTACTGGTGAAAATCCTATAGTAGTCCAAACCTTTGAAACGGCTCCCTGCTTGGATTCATAGTGATTCTCATCAAGTGTCACACATCTAAACCAGGTAACAAGACATACACGCGACACATTTTGCTGTTTGTAAGTACAGCATTCTGACACCTCAGGAAAGGCCTGGGGTTCTACTTCTAATGCATTAGTTCTACCCTTAGGAGCCCTGCTGCGGAGCACTTCTATATATACGTGTAACAATGATTAAAGAAACAGAGGCCATGGATTTGACAGAGACCAAAGTGAGTTTATGGGAAGGGTTGGAGGGAGGAAAGGAAAGAAGGCAAAGGATATAATTACAATTTCAAAAATATAAGTTATTTTATAAAAGCAATCTTTCTAAAGAAAAAACTTTCTACTACCACCCCTTTCAAGGCTGGCATGAACAAAACAGAAATTTTAGTAAGGATCTTATTTGAAATATTATCCCCTCCCAAGTTTAATTCCCAAGTGTCTAATCAGTGTTTTGGGCTCAAATTCCCTGCTATGTGACTCACTGACACAGAGGTCTCAGAATATAGAAGCAGCTTTCTCAAATGAGTCTGTACACTTTGTTTTTGCATCTCATAAACTACAAGAAAGTTGAGACATAGTAGCTACTAAGGAAAACTGGGAGAATTAATGAAAAAGTAAAGAAAAACATATGAGAAATATAGAAAAACAGGTCAGGAGAAAATATTATGAACACATCTTGGGCCTAAAGTTTTAAATATGAGGCTTGGGAAAAGATAGTTACAGCCAGCACGTAAGAAAACGGTGAATTTAGATTCAGACATGTGAACCAGGCTTCACAGAGTATACCACACTGAAAAGATGAATACAGCTAGAGATGGAAACAGACGTTCGTGAGAAGTCGTAGCTGGAGGGCCGTACCAGGCATTAGCATAAAACTATAGTTAAATTTATAAGAAAAGGTGAACTAATTAAAAACTGAAGAAAAATTGGCAAAAAATATTGATTTTGGCAATCATAGCTTTATACTGCTAAGACAACCTTAAATGTTGTAGTATTAGGAGAAACAGAGTTGAACTGTTTTTAGAAAAAATGTAATCAATTATTATTTTTTCCATGTAATTACTAAGTAGCCTCTGAAGTGTTCAATATTTCAAGTACATGCATGAAGGACATGTATTGCAAATGCATATATGAAGGACATGTATTGCAAGTGCATATATGAAGGACAGCCTTTTGCAAAAGCTACAGACGTGAAGCTTTTTATCATGTTCAGGTTTTCAGAGAAAGGTCACTTTAAAGACCTTACTCTAAAAAATTCCAGCATCTACAACAATGTTTTTCTTCTGTATATTTAAAACAATATATTGCTCCAATAGCACTTTTTAAGTTTATCTTCCTTATTTTCAGAGGAACGGAGGTTATTGTTTCTAAGATTCAGAAACAGCATCTGCAACAGAGTTTGAAATAGCTGTTCTGCTCTGGAGGCTGCATAATGTGTTTTTCACAGTGGAGAGGTTTTGTTCCCCTAAATAGAAGAGAGATAATGTACGTGAGTATGAAATACAGAGAGGAGAGACAGAATTTCTTTCAGTGATTGAGGATTTTATGCTAAAAATGTCACAGATGTGCTCTATAAAAGTTGAGTGTGAGCTAAATTTCTTCAAAGATAGTAATTTTCCCTTTGATTTACACTATCAGCTTGGGGATATTTCATCCATTGGACCTCAGTTTTATCATGAATAATTGACGAAAGAGACTAAATGTCACTATTATTTATTTTAACTTCAGTGTTCTTTGACTTCATTTCTGATAAGCAGGAATACACTCCCAAATTCCTGCTTCCTTCCTTGAACAAAAGTAAGTAACTTGTTTAGTACTCTGTTATTTGATGCTTTGCTTAAAAAAACTCAGGGGTGATCACTGCAGGCCCCCCATAAGCGGGACACACACACAAACAGACCAGTGAAAACTTAGTATGCAAAACCAAGCTCTGGGTCAGCCCCCACCCAGTTAAAGTTTTTTTCAGTGAGGTAAGGAGAGATGGAGGTTTTAGTAAGTGAACACTTCAGTGTCAGTGATTTCTGCCGGAAAGGCAAAGGTAAGGTGACAGTGTGGGTGGGGGTGGGGTGCTGCTTCTACTTGCTTACTTGGGTAGGAGTTTCTGGAAATGATTTTCAAATAAAACCAAACCTGATCCTATTCCTGAAATGAAAAGGAAGAAAAGGGTGGAGAGGCAGCATGCAGTCCCTAGAGGCGGAGCTTCTGTCTCCTGCCAGGTGCTACTTCCTGCTGCTCCACACAGCAGCCTGAGCAAAGAGCCAGAAGGTGACTTTGGGGCTAAGAACTGAATCAAATCTATAACTTCATCTCGGACGCCATCCCTTCAAGGTGTGGTCATTACTGAAGTTTGGCTCTGACCTCATTAGTTGTCTCTCTTGCTCTTTTACATTTCAAAGTGCTTAGCAAAACAGCACACTTGTTAGACTGTTTC